ATGACCTCTACCTTCATTCACTAACTTTCAGGAATCCCCAGATGGCCCTACTCACTGCACTCATGCTTCACTTTTTGATGGCACACCTCTACTTTTAGACCTCCCAAACTCTGTCCTGCCACCGACACACGGAAGGAAACACGGTTCTCCGGCCCCTTCCCTGCTGCATCTTCTGCCCGCTACAGCGTCTCAACGAGCTCCCAAAGCTGCTGGGCAATCTCGGAATGCGGAGATCCTTCCCCTGGTCTCCCATGCTTCATTTTGCTTCTAGGACAAAGGGTACCTGGTTGAGCTCTTTCTTGGGCCCAGTGTGAGTTCCAACTCTCAGCTCAGTCCTTTTGCTTATTAGCTTTCCCACCATCTCCAAAAAACAACCTCCTCAACAAGTCCCATCAAAGGCCTGGGTCTCCTCTGGACCACAGCAGCCACCTCACAGGTTAGGGGTCATCATCTCTTTCTCTCGGGCCCTGGGGCCCTCAGAATCCTCTCACCCATCCCCTCTTTCCCAACCCTGCTCTCGAGACTGTGTTCACACACCTCACTATGGGAACCATTTTCCATCCTTCCTCCTCACGCTGGCCTCCACCTGCCCCCTCCATGTACTCTGCTGCCAGCTGCTTTGTCTTGAACGTTAAGTCTCCCTTCCAATATCGATGTTCAAACCTAACCCTCGGTGTGATGGTGTTAGAATATAGGGCCTGTGGAAGGTGATCAGGGAAGGGGGAATGCACAGCCCTCACAATGAGATTCATGTCACTTACAAAAAAAGGACCCCGTGACCTCTTTCTACAGCAAGAGGTCACAGCAAAAAGATGGCTACCTATGAGCCAGGAAGCAACCCTCATCACATAAGAAATCTGCAAGCCCCCTGATTTTTAACTTTCTGGCCTCAAAAACTGTGGGGGAAAAAATCTATTTCTATATTGTTTATAAACTACCTGGTTTGTAGTATTTTTGACACAGTAGCCTAGGTAGACTATCAGGTAAATCATAAAGCATAGTGCGTCAATTAAGCCTCTCCTGTGCTCAGCATCTCTGCCTTCATCACTGTTTGTATTCATCCCCCTTCCCAGTCACACTGCACAAGGGCCTTTAATCCCCTACCAGACACCAAGGCTCAGTGAAGAGAGGACCCCACACATACTTGATAATTCATCTCACACAGTGCCTAGCACAGGGCTTTCACGGTTTATAATTATTTATTTACTGGAAGAAAAAAAACTAACGAAGAGCTCCCCTATGCCCATTCTCTCTTCTAATAAGTGGACGTATTAGGCATGTCCACTTCAATACCCCATCAAAATCTCAATCAACAGTAGAAGAAAGTGCACTGCCATCAGAGAAGCTGAAGATTAGAGGTGGGCTTACCTCTCGGGACAGGGAGGAGATTACAATTAGGGGAAACACAGTGATGTTTTATTTCTAAAACTAGGTAGGGAAAAGACAGATGCCATCATTCTTTAGACTCCTTTCTTCTCCACACCATCTTGAATATGTGTAAAAGTAATTAAAAATATTACCCCACACGTTCATCTAAGAAGATGCCCTCTGCTCAGAGGACAGTTTTGTGCTTAATGCTGCTGCTGCTGTCTCAGGCATGTTGTTTTAGTCTTGTTTTGTCTTAAGCTTTGAAAACAAGGTCTTGCTCTTTAGCCCAGGCTGGCCTACAACTCACTATGTAAGCCAAACTGGCCTTGAACTTGTGGCCCTCCTCCTTCTCCCTCTGTACAGAGTGCTGAGATCACAATCAAGTCCTAACCACCCCATCCAGTATGCGGGTTCCTTTTCTTTGCAAACCAACCTGCTAGGGGAAACAAGTTTCATCATATTTTGAGATTGATCTTGAGCAATGACTCAGTAGATTAAGAAGTTTCTCACCCCTCCCTATCCCAGCATGCTTTGCTAATGATACAGTAAGGCAAACCTACATGAAATATGGTTGTTCCTAATCCAAAGAAATGAGGTTATTTATTGCCATTTAACCATCCTCTGTCAGGTGGAGGTATCGTTTAAGGGGGAACTCACCGAGTTAACAGCAGGATGCTTATTTATATAAAGGGCTTGTTCTACGTGGTGCCTAGGTTGAGAAGAGCTCTTGACAGAGGGAAAATCGGGGAGAGGAGGTGCTCTGTTTTCTCTATCCATTAAGTCTGGTTTTGCCAGAGTAGAAAAATGCGTGGTTCAGACATATTTCAAAATACTAAAAAATACATTATGTCTTTCTTACAGATGTTTACAGGTTTGTGTAAACTTCAAGTTCTTTGCTTATTTAAAAAAAATGTTCACCTGCTTGAACCTACTTCCCAGATGGCTAAGTTAAAACACAAATTGATTGTGCTCACTGGTCTCATTTTATTTTGATTGAAATTCCAAACAGTGAGCAAAGAAACAAGAATTTATGGGGTTCGTGGCCACTGAAACAAAGGAGGCAGCCTAGGAGAGGGTGGATCAAACCTTTGGATTAAGTTGATACTGCAGAAGTCTACATGAAATTTCAGAGGCATCTCAGGAGGAGAGTCAGTATTAGTTTACTGAATCCTGTTATGTTATTACTGACAGCGATGGGGAGGGGGTCACAGAGACATAAATAAGAGTGCCCAAAGGAAGCACGGAAGGCAAGAAGGTCAAACTTTCTGGTGGACGTGAGCGACAAGGCTGGTATTAAACTCTGGAAATGAGTTTGCCCAGCATACTTGGCTTCTTACTCAAAACGAGTTGGCTCTACTTAGCAGAAGCCTCTACTTGAGGTTCAGTGATCTAGACATAACATTTATACTTTGATATGGCAATCTTAATTAACTCCATTGAAACTTAAAAGATTCCACAAAGATTACAAGGCATACCACCCTTTGCTAATTGTCAAGTTCAATTTTGTTATACAACTGCCTCGTCATCAGCCAGCAGAGTAACTGCTGGAGCTTGTTTATCTCTACACATGACCGTGGACCCAGACACGTGAGCCAACCCTCCCATCCCACACCTACAAAAAGGAACACCTCTCCTTTCTTAAAACTGGCCAACTGTAGTGTTGTGATTTGGGTCCTAATGGGGTCTGATGAAGCTGAATCAGAGAGCAATGAGCACACCTGCAGATTTTGGCCACTCTAGCAAGACCAATGGCTACTCCTGAGTTTAGCTTGGCCCATGGCCAAGTATACACATCTCTTGCCAGGAAAGGTGTCCAAATCTGCCTCAAGCCAGAGGAGAAAAGTTGACAGTGAGAATTATTTGTAACCACTTTTCTTAGTCCAATAAAAATTCTACATCTGTCCCCTCGCCTCACATGAGAAGAACCCATCCCAGAACCCCATGAATCCCTGTGATGGCATCTATGTCTAATAATAGAGTCAGAACTCCAGCACTTGAACCCGCCAGGACTACAAAGACTTTGGTCAGTGGAGATCAGGTGTGGGGCGGCATAATGAATCTGAATTGAGCAGAGAACTGGTAAATTTGATGACTAGTGCTTACCTTCAAAAGAATGTTCTTGTTTCCCCACACAGAAGGAAAACAAGGGAGAAAGAAAGGCTCCCTGCAGATGTCACAGCCAAGAAAGCCCCCCCCCATTTAGGTCCAAGGCAGCCCCCACCTCCCAAATGGCAGTGCTGGTGAGAAGTCCTAAACAGAAGAACAGGTAAACAGAAGGGCCTTTATTGGGTAAACAGAGGCCTAGAAGAAGGGTTTCTGCTTACCAGGATCTTCCCTTAATTAGCCCCAAAAGGGCAAGGGCATCTAACTCCCAATCAACTGAACAGCCAGTATCAGTTCAAAGATCCCGCCCCGCTACTGTCATATGAATCTGCTTGCTTTTCTGCTATTTTCCTCTTCTCTCTGCATCCCCACCCCCAAGATACAGCCTTGGCAGTTTAATCACCAATAAACCTTTCTTTCTACCCAGGAAGTGGTCAGTCAGTTCAGTGGTTTCACCGCACCCTCACTTACAGTCTCTTGTAGCAGTTGACAGCTTTCTAACCTAACTGGTCACTACCATGAGTTCTCTACCTTCAACACACACCCAACACACACACACACGCACGCACGCACGCACGCGCACACGCGCACACACACACACAAATCCTCAATGTGAGCCCTTTCTACTACACAAATGGTATTCCACAGTGGAAATCTGGCTGAAAATCCTTCCCATGGGTGGGCATCCTTCAGTGTTCGAAGCTATGAGAAGCAAGCTGTGTTCATGGAGGACAAAGCAAGCTTCTACTGGCTGAGTCTGACTACCAGGTTTTTGCAGGGAAGGGACTTATATGTCCAGAACATTCTGCGGACAAACAACATCCCAGAAAAAGAACAAACAAGTAAATTCTTGAATTGATTAAAAATAAGCAAACTATTAGTGCATCTATTAAATGCTACAAGCATATAACGTATGTTATACTTACATTTTGATTTAGAAGTAGTTGTGGTCATACAAATGACTTTATGGCAAAAAAAAAAAAAAAAAACCAAAAAAAACAATAACAACAACAACAAAAAACAAACCCTGGCTTCAATCAGTTTGGATTTTTTTCTTTTTTGTCTCTAATCTAATCCCCCCTAAAGAAAATCACAGATGTTTAACTTTTTAAGCTTCCCAAAGTCGCCACACGCTCTTAAGCTGTCTAGTGGAAATCTCAGATTCTCAGCCAAAGCTCGCTCTTGAATATTCTGAAGGGGTAATGTGTTTATATAAAAACCAAAGTCAACTGGCTGGCTTTTCATGTCTCCCAAACCCAGGAAGGTCAGAATTCAGAGGACACAAGACCCAACCCTTAAGCAATGCAAATACACCCAACTCAACTATTCCTGCCTCTTGTATACAATTTCAAGAATTCACATTAGCTAAACTAATCTCTGTCAACTGCCTAAGGGGGAAAAAAATCTCCCAAATACATTTAGTTCAGTGAAACATTCTTGCAAGGGACTCACAGGTTTCCTTCAGAAATGGAGAATGCCACTACGAAGTCTTTAGGGAAGGGGGAAGATGGTGGAAAACATAGTCTTACCGTTCTCACTGGGCTCTGAGGGCTTGGACCCTTCTCTAAACGGGACCATAACTGTATCTCCAGGCACCCTGGGGCTCTCCACATACTTGGGCTTCCTGACGGGACCTGCAGTGGGAAAGAGGTGAGTGTAGCTCACTTTTTCCAGACGCAAACAGAGCTTCAGAACATACAGTTTGTGTCCTTACCGGGACCCAAACACGCCTAAGGAAAGCTGGCCCTTCCCTTCAACACACACACACACACACACACACACACACACACACACACACACACACACACACACACACACGGTCAGTTCAGAGCAGACATTAGAATGTCCAGGCTTGTCTGCCAAAGAAGAACAGAGTGAGTTCCATTTGGAGAATGTAAACGCTGACCAAAACCAAAGCTGCTCCCCTCCGCTGCGGTTTCTCCAGCTGTCTTTACTATGTGTCAAACAGGGGATTCTGACGTGCTCAGACCTAGACAGCAGGAAGGGATGCTGTCCTAAGGAAGAGACCATGGTTCTCTCATTGGGGTACAGATAGACGGCTTGCTTGCTCGGCTTCTCCAAGTCAAGAGCTGGGAATTACAAACAGCTGGCCTCTGGTATCAACATGCTGAGCGGCCACCCGAGGTAAATCTCTTATCAGGCTGATGACCCATGCTAACTGCACGGAGCCCAAGCATGGTTGCTTTCTTGGCAGCTGAAGCAGCTGCCCTCAAGCGGGTGTGCCCACAGTCCCGCCCAGATGTGGGGACACAAGATACCGAGAGTTGTATTCCCCTCCCCCAACTACAATTTATCAGAAAAATCTGGAATTTTCAGTTTACTTTTTGAGTCTGGGTTTGGCTATGTCACTCAGGCTGGCCTAGAACTAACATCCATCCTTCTGCCTCAGCCTCTGGAGTGATTACAAGCTTGTACCACCACATCCTTGAGAGTCTTTATAATTTTACTTTTTTTTTTTTTTTTGTCCTGAGAATTGGACCTTCTTTCCCTGCAGCTGAGGACAAAGGTGCAGTCAGTCACTCTGGAAAACAGTCTAGCCGTTGTTCAAAAAGTTCAACCGAGCTGTCCTGGGGCCCAGCAGCTCCGCAGACACAGACCTATGTCCACACAGAAACCAGGGCACTGTGCTCACAAGAGCATTACTGCTGTTCCTGAAGGGCCATCACCTGACGAGGCAGACTACCGGGGAAGGAGAAGGGATGAAGCAGCCGTTCATGCTGCAGCATGAATGGACTTTAAAGGTATTATGCCCCATGAAAGGAGCCAGTCACGAAAAGCCACATCCTGCATGATCCCTTTCAACATGTAACTTCCAGCACAGGGGAGCTATAGAAACCAAAGATCTGAATGGCTGCCAGGGCTGAAGATAGGCAAGCGTGTAGGGTAATCAGGGAGTTCTCTGGAGAGTAACGAAATTTCCTAAAATTAGACTTGAGCAATCCGTCAGTCCTAACACCTTGGGAGCATGCTAAAAACTATAATACCCTACATGCTTGGATAGGTGAACTGCTTGGCCTATGAACTGCATCTAAAGTGACTTGAGAAGCAACAATAATGCCTATGTGCACCTTCTAAGTATCACATTTCATTTTGTTCCTGAATCACCTGTTTGACCTGCTACAGTATGCACAAGGTCATAGAGAAAGACGGGGGTGGGGTGGGAGTGGGGGGGGGGGTTGGCGAGGGTGGTGGGCAGTGCTCCGGGCAGGCTACAACACTCGAATAAGCCCAGACCACTGCGGTGCCCAGGCTTCATCCCCACAGTAAGCAGGGTAATCCAGGCAGAATGTGAACATCCTCTTGTCTCTACATCTTCTATGTCTGAAAGAGCTTGTTCAAAACATGGCTTATGGTGAGGGATGCTGCCATCTAAAGGTTTACTGTGAAAGTATCTACAAGCCTGGAAAAATAATCCAATTCCCAGCCAGCGGTCATGCACTGCATCTTAAACAGGCCGGGTTATCCAAGAAGCTTCTTTTAAGAAAAGGATGCCATTTCAAGCTTTAGAAAACATGATTACAAATAACTAATCAAGTATTTACATGTACGGCTGTTTTAATAGTTTATTTAACTATAATACTGTCAGTATTTTTTTTTTTTTTTTTTAGTGTAATGATTACTGGAATGGAAAGAGATATCCACAGTCTAAGTGGGGGCTGTGGTCTATATACAACAGCACTCGGATTTTATCTGATGCATGTATACATCCACATTTAAGATATCTAAGAGAGAAAACAGAAAGGCTAAAGCATTTGTCAGGAAGAACAGGAAGGTGGCCAGAAGAGGACAAAGAAACAGAACAGGGAATGGACAACTCTACAGGCATTCAGTTCTCCCCAACCCCACAGCCCCGCGGAGCCCTGGTCTCTTAACGGTTAATGGGCAAAGAGGCAGCCCAGCCCTTTGTTACTACACTGTCTGATATGCTGAGCTGTTACAGCCTCAACCTTACCCCACCTTACCCACTGCTCCGGACACGCCTGCCCCGCTTCCAGAACTCGGGGTGCAAGAGCAGCAAATCCAGGGATCTAGTTCCAGGCTCCAAAGTACTTACTCAACATCCCCTCAAAAATACCCTCTTAACAGTTCGGTGTTTTCTTAAAATGTGGATTACTTCACAGGGACAGCAAGAGGCGCTGTGGATGGTGTGAACAAGAAGTCTTATATCACTCCGAGCCTTCAAGGGTCATCCACACCCACCCGCAACGGATCTGTGCCTGGAGCAGCAGCCTGTCATTACAACAGGTTTGAGGCCAATCCAGGCTACAGAGGAACTTCCTCACAGCCTGGTTAACCTGGTGGGACTATCTGAACACACGGTAACAAGAGCTCCATGGACACAGCTTACCAGGAGAGCCCTTACCTATCACACGGGCAGCCCGAGATCCAATCCCTCCTTAAAAGACATCCTTACAAATCCACCCTTGCCAACCCAGAGGGGTTGGGATGTTAAGTGCAGACTCTTGGAACGAATTTAGACAAATCTGGGTTCAATCACTGTACCTCTCTTTCCTCATCGTCCCCTTATTCTGATTCCAGCATGTCCCAGAATTAAGAGACAAAAAAGCAAGGCTCTTCCAATGGGGGCAACAGCCATGAGGGCACAAACCAGGACTCTATGGTTCCCAGACATAAACAATACAGGGATGTAAAGAAAGCCTCTAGTCCCCAGTGGTCAGTCAAGCTAAGCACACTTGCAAGCATTCACTAATTCAGTCCCAGAAACCTGGGGAGAAAAGCACCATGTTCACCATTTTTAGGTCAGGAAACCGAGGCTCAAGTAAGTAAAGCCAACAATTAGCTTGCTCCAAACGCAAAGGAATTCACACAGCTGTCTGCACAGTTCTGAAGCCCATGGACTGAGCTGCCACTCGGAATTCTAGACTAGGCCTTCGGCTCTCAACAGGGCCACAGCACTGGAACCGGCGCAGGTAGCAAAGCTTTTTTATTCATCCCACGCGTCTCCGATCGCCCCTTTTACTAGCAGCAGAAATATTCAAGTGAATATAAACAACTGTTCTCCAGCATGACCCTTTTATTTAAATTGCTTTTCACGAACAGCTGAACCGCGGATGCTGTAAAACAAGATACATTTATAGGCAGCAAGGTTTTTATACGTGCCCCGATTGGTCGTTAGAGGATTCGAGCACGCTCTCTACCAAGCAACACAGATGAAGCCGTGTTCGCACCCTCCCCCGCCCCCCCAAGCACCATTAAAGTTGTAGTAAAGGGATTCAACAGAGAGAGCTGGGCAAAGGAGACATCCACAGGTGAGACCCAAACTTCTGTGCCAGGGAAGAGGACTCCCACGGAGCACAGGGCCGAGCAGAGCAGAAAAGCTAAGGGCCATGGGGCCTCAGAATCACAGTCCAGTCAGGGAGCAGGGACCAGTGAGGCCAACCATGCGGGGTGGAAAAAGAGTCAGGCCTCCTCCCGAGCCAAGAATAGTCCCTCCTGGATCCTGGCAGCTGAGTGGACTTCTCTAGGAAGGATGAATTCAAAGCCCCTGAGAACGGTAGTGCTAAAACGAAAAACCAGGATTAAAATATTATGTGTACACCGATGGGCTCAAGAGACATCCCCCACCCTCTACCCAGCCGTGAGAATACGGACAGCCACACTTGTACACCAGGGCAGGGTAAGATGCGGAGGGTACCTCTCTGAGGAAGCTTGGACCTACCTACCAAGTACCGTAGCTGGCAAACCCCCGACCATCGCGTTGTGGCAAGCCAGATCTCCCCAAACCCCTTTTACCAGCACCTCAGTACATCATAGCCATGTACAAACAGTCAGGGATCCCCAGCGGACCCTACCAATCAAAGGCCCTGCCTTGCCACCCACCTGACTGTAACAGTGTCATAAAAGAACTAAGGAACCCGGAAGGAACATCCCCGAGAGGAAAAAACAGCATTGCATCCAACGACAAGGGTGTGCTGTGACAAGGAGCATTCAGTCTGCGATGTGTCAGCCAAGCAGGCTGCGGCTGCCAAAGAGGACAACCGGAGACCACACCAGTGAAATCACCCACCCGCACTGGTCTTCCTCCGGAATGGCCACCCAGCAGCGACAACGATCCAGAAACCATCCACACTAAAAGTCACTCCAAATACGGCAGCCACACAAGTTACGGACCCAGAGCAAGACTGAAAAGCCCATTTTCCCTCAAGGCCCCTCACTCAGGGGAAAGTACTGCCCAGCACGTGTCCACACATGCTTCAAACAAAACCCTACGCATTCCCCCAAGCGCTGACAACTTAAAGCAAAACAACTTCCGTCCTTACACAAACCAAGAACGGAAGGTTAGAAAGTAACCGTCCAAAGGGAATGGGATTTCTGCTGCTATCTGTGTGTGAAAAGCAAGCGCTCTGAAAACCGAGGCTGCCGGTTGTGAGTGTGAGCCTCTTCCTGTCACTCCTGAGTGGTTGTCCCTGATGGCCATGCCAAGCAGTCACCCTACCTTTAGTGCCCCCAGGTGGACTTGCTACACTGAGGTCCGAGGTGCCGGCTAGGATCTCAGACCATGCTTCAGTAGCAGAAGGGAGGCCGATGAAGAGCACCAGTGACCTCCCGCTCCGGTACGTTAATGGGGGTCCAATGTCCTAGCCAGTCCAGA